GTCGCACGCACAAGTCAATCGACCGGTGCATCGACGACGTCCCAGTGTACTTTGCCCCTCACGCAAGTGAGGCGGTGTCCTTCGACATTCTGGACACCAACTTCGACATGATCTTGGGCATGTCATGGCTGCGAAGCGAGGATCACCCGGTGAACTTCTTCCACCGCACCGTTCACATTCGTGATCGGAACGGAGTATTAGTTCCATGCACGGTACCTCTTCCTCATCCTTCGATCAGCTGCCACGTGGTATCCGCCGCAAGCATGCGAGATCATCCTCGAGGACGGGGCCGTGCCTCCGCGCGGTGGCATGTACCGAATGAGCGAGGAAGAGTTAAGTGTGCTCCGTGCACAACTCAACGATCTTCTAGAGAAAGGCTGGATTCGGCCTAGCTCATCGCCATACGGTGCTCCTGTTCTCTTCGTCCGGAAGAAGAACAAGGACCTACTGTTGTGCATCGATTATCGCAAGCTCAACGCGCAGACGATCAGGAACGCCGGCCCTCTCCCATGCATCGACGATCTTCTCGAGCGACTGGGCGGCGCCAAGTTCTTCTCCAAGCTCGATCTCAAGTCGGGATATCACCAACTCGAGATTCGCAAGGAGGATCGCTACAAGACCGCGTTTAAGACGCGATATGGGCATTTCGAATGGCTGGTCATGCCATTTGGCCTTCCGAATGCCCCAACCAATTTCCAAGCGGCTAGGAAAACAGAGTTCCGACACATGCTCGATCGTTACGTACTTATCCACCTCGACGACATCCTGGTATACAGCCGGAGTTTGGAGGAGCATGTGGAACACCTGCGCACCGTTTTGGAGCGGCTACGTCAAGCCAAGTACAAAGCCAACCGCGACAAGTGCGAATTCGCGCGGCAGGAGCTGGAGTACTTGGGACACTATGTGACGCCGCAAGGCATCCGTCCGCTTGCGGACAAGATCGAGGCCCTACGAGTATGGCCCGAGCCCACCAACACCACGGACGTTCGTTCATTCATGGGGTTGGCGGGCTACTATCAGCGATTCATCACCGGATACTCCAGGATTGCTGCACCTATGACGAGGTTACAGTCGCCAAAGGTGCCATTCGTCTTCGATGACGACACGCGCTAGTCATTCCAAGCACTTAAGACGGCTATGCTTATGGCACCCGTCCTTAGCATCTATGACCCCACCCTGCCGACGAGAGTGACTCGGACGCTTTCGGCTACGACATTGGGGCAGTCTTGGAACAGCACGACGGCGACGACTGGCACCCTGTGGAGTATTTCAGCCACAAAGTGCCTCCCATCAACACGCTTGATGATGCAAGGAAAAAGGAGCTACTCGCGTTCGTCATGGCTCACAAGCGATGGCTGCACTTCCTCCTTGGGCGTCGTAGGTTCACATGGGTTATGGACAACAATCCATTGACCTACTACAAGACACAGGATACGGTGAGCAGCACGATCGGAAGATGGATGTACTTCATCGACCAATTTGACTTCACACCGAAACATCTACCTGGCCTCTCAAATCACGCAGCAGATGCACTCTCGCGAAGACCCGATCTTTGCGCTATGACACATCATGCCTTCGCATTCGACGAGGAGCTTCAGCGACACTTCATCCGGGCATATGAGTCTGATCCGGACTTCGCCACGCTGTACGCACAACTATCTTCGGATCACCCGCTGGCCAGCCACCATCGCATCGCCGACGGATACTTGCTCCTCCACTCGAGAGGCAAGGACTTATTGTGTGTCCCACGCGATCGTCGTCTTCGGACTCGCCTCCTCGGCGAGTATCATGATTCACGACTCGCCGGCCATTTCGGAGTCAACCGCACTATTGCACGGCTTCGACAACGATTCCGATGGCCCGACCTCATTACCGATGTCACTCGGTATTGCGACTCGTGCGAAGTTTGCCGACGCAGCAAACCCGGCAACCGCAATCCTTATGGCGAGTTACACTCGATGCCTATCCCACGCGAACCCGGTCTCTCCATTGCCATGGACGTCACCGGTCCGTTTCCTCGCGACCAACTCGGGCACGACGGCATCCTCACGGTTGTGGACCGATTGAGTAAGTACGCGCGTTTTCTCCCTTGCAAGTACTACTCCACGGCTCCCGAGCTGGCACGCCTCCTGCACACTGGTTGGATTTGTGGCCACGGTGTACCAGAAGACATTGTCAGCGACCGCGACACTCGTTTCATGTCGGCGTTTTGGACTGCTCTCATGCAGGAGTCCGGCACAACAATGAAACCAAGTTCGGCTCGGCATCCTCAGACAGATATGGGCAGACGGAGCGGGCACATCAAACCGCTCAAATGATGCTTCGTACGCTCATCCGTCCGGACCAGAAAGATTGGGTTGACCGCCTCCCCGACATCRAGTTCGCCTACAACACTTCGGTGCACCCGGCGATCGGCGTGACTCCATTCGAGTTGCACCACGGTGGACGGAAAGGCCGTATCTTCGCCGACCTTCTCCTCCCTCGACCAGCCGACATTGACGCTGCCTGCTCTCCCGCTTCCGTCCGGAAGT